CGATGGAAACGTTCCACCAGACCATTCGCTGCAGGATGATAAGCTGTAGTGGAGATATGGTTCACTCCAAGGAGTCTCGTAAACTCTCGAAACAGAGTTGATTGAAATTCAGCTCCTCGGTCTGTTGTAATCGTTGTTGGTACTCCGTAGTTCGACACCCAACAATCTAAGAAAACCAAGGCGGTATTTTCTGCAGATATGTCGTTGAGTGGACAAGCAATAGCCCATCGAGTAAATCGATCAATGGCAGTAAGTATATGAGTAAATCCTCTGGATGGCGGTAATGGTCCAATAATATCTATGTGCATGTGTTGGAATCGTCTATCCGGTAAACTGAACTGCTTTGGAGGTGTAACGGTATGATGATGTACCTTGGATCTTTGACATTGCAAGCACTGGTGGGCCCATTTCCGAATATCGGAGTTCATCTTGGGCCAAACAAAACGTTCGCTGATCAACTTGACCGTAGCACGTATACCAGGATGAGACAAGGAATGCAGATGTTCAAACAAAGGTTTTCGACAACTTAGTGGGACAAAAGGTCTATGAACGCCAGTTGAAACATCGCAGACGATGGTTGTATCAGACAGGGGAATAGGTACGTCCTGCAACTGTAGGGAGGAGTTTCGTCTGCAAGAATGAAGTTCGGCGTCATTTTTCTGCAGCTTGGCTATATTGTCTAAGCTAATATCTATCGAAGATAGGTGATTAACGTCACACCGAGATAAAGAATCAGCTACGATATTGGAATCTCCTTTGATGAACTGGATGTCTGTTGAGAATTGTGAGATGTAATCCAGTTGTCTGGCTTCTCTCGGAGAGTGTCTATCCAACGAAGTGGTGAAAGCGTAGCAGAGAGGCTTATGGTCCGTTAAGATAGTAAAATGTCTACCTTGTAGTAGGAAGCTGAAATGTTTTACTGCTAGGTAGATGGCTAACAGTTCTCTGCTAAATGTGCTGTAACAAGTTTGTGCAGGTTCCAACTTTTTGGAGAAGAAAGCAAGTGGAGTGGTGTCATTAGTGAACTTTTGTTGTAAAACTGCTCCCACTGCTACCTGCGATGCATCTGTACATAAAATGAGTGAAGCTTCTGGATTGATATGAGACAACATTACGACGTTGGATAAGGCATATTTTGCGTTATAAAATGCTGCTTTTGCTTCTTCAGACCACTGAAATTTCTTTGAATTGCGTCTAAGTAGGTCGGTCAGTGGCTGAACTATGGAGGCACATGATGGAATAAAACGTCGGTAGAAGTTGAACATCCCGAGGAAACGTCTAAGTTTCTTTAAGGAATCAGGTTCGGGAAAGTTCTTAATAGCTTCTATCTTATCTTCGGTAGGTCTGATGCCTTCGGCAGTTATTCGATGTCCTAAAAATTCGATGGATGGGGAACCAAAAATACATTTCTTTGGATTGATCACAACTCCAAATTGTTCAAATCTTTGAAATAACAAGCTTAAGTGTTCCATATGTTCTTCCATCGATGAGCTGGCAATTAAGACATCGTCGATATATACAAAGACAAAATCAAGACCTTGGGTAACTTGGTCCATAAAACGCTGAAATGTTTGCGCGGCATTCTTTAGACAGAAAGGCATTCTCAAGAATTCGAATAATCCAAAAGGTGTGATAATTGCTGTTTTTGGAATGTCTTCTGGAGCGACTGGTATTTGATGATATGCTCTAACCAAGTCAACTTTGGTAAAAATAGTCTTTCCATGTAACGTCAAGGAGAAGTCGTGGAGATGAGGTATAGGATAACGGTCTGGTACCGTAGCATTATTCAGAGCGCGATAATCTCCACATGGTCGCCAGTCGTGATTAGTTTTGGGAACCATATGCAAAGGTGAAGACCATGGACTGTTGGATGGTCGTATGATGCCCAGCTGCATCATATGTTCGAATTCCGACTTAGCTGCTGCTAGTTTATCTGGTGGTAACCGTCGTGGACGTGCCTTCACAGGTTGTCCTGTTGTGATGATTTTATGCGTAACTGTATGAGATATATCTTCGACGTTGTATGACGGTTTAAGGATTTTCGGAAATCGTTGCAATAAGGTAGAGAACATTTCACTCTCCGGCTTTTCTATACAGATGCTATGAACAGAGTAGTCACCTGTAATACCGTGGATCTTGAGTTGGGTGCAATTGTCAATCAGTTTTTTCTTGCTGATATCAACTAACAGATTGAAGTGACTTAGGAAGTCTGCACCAAGTATAGCGTGACGTACGTCAGCTACTATGAAGATCCATGTGAAACGTCGGCGTAATCCTAGGTTTAGAATCATTGACTGTTCACCATACGTCTGTATGTTGGTTTGATTGGCAGCGCGGAGTGAAAGTTTACCAGGTATTTTGGCTGATCGCCTGGATAGTGAGGGGGGAATAACACTGACCTCGGCGCCTGTATCTACCAGGAATAATGTGCCGGTAGTCAAGTCCCTCACGTAGAAAAGGCGACTGGGATGATTGCCAGTAACAGCCGTCGCCATTACTGCCTGGCTAGGGAGTTTCCCTGAGTTGCGTCACCACTATTGTACATGCACGGTCGGACACACTTCAGGGCATTATGCCCATACCTCCTATGATACCAGCAAATGTTACGGCTTTGAGACGGTGTTCTAGAACGTCGTCTAGATCTTGGTCGCCGTTGCTTGGATACTGTCTGTGACTGGTTCCGCTGTGCTCGGAGCTCAGATACTTCCAGTCGTAGGTCTTGCATTTGAGATGTTAACTGGGAAAGTAACCAAAACATTGGTGTGTCCTTCATAGATGTGGAAGGGCTTGGTGGTACTACCTCTTCAGGAACAGTGGTACGTTTAGATGGAGCCATTGTCAAAAAATATTTAAGTATAGAGATATACAAAATAGCAAAACGTATGGTAACAAAAATTAAGCAATGCGAGATTATAAGGTCAAAATAGCAACAAAAATGTTCAAAACGAGTTAACTATCGCAAAAATGTTCAAAAAAACGGTTAACCATCGAAGAAAAAAAAATGTTCGAAGCGGGCTCACCAATTTTTGTGGTGGACCTTTTGCTCTGTTAGCTTATTAACCCAAATTCAAATAGAAAACAAAATACCAAATCAATTGAGTTTACGGGAAGAATATATTAAAGTTTTGTTACTTGGGTTTACAAAGATCCAAATTCCACAATAAACGTAATGGATTCCAGAAGTGCTGCGGGAAGACTGCTCCAGTTCTAATTCTCCAGTGTTGACGTTGCCGGAGGTCGACCAAAGTGCGTAGGAGGAGGCTACGGTGATCCTGCAAAAATTCGAGATAGAAAGCAGGTTGTTATAATTGATCGACGGCAGTTGAGATGGTGGAGAAGACGGAGAGTCGAAGGCAGAATTATATATTTATTTAAAACTCGAGGGAAGTTCAAAGTACAGAGTTTTTGGTTAAAACAAAGTAGTGTACAATATGTTCATTTTTTTACATAATAGTAAAATTTGGATAAGTTTATTTTTGAGGACTCCACAAGTCTTCGACTCAGAGTTTCTTAAAAATCCACTGTTACCTTGGTCTAAAGCCTACCCATTGGACAGAGGATTTTTCACGAGAGTGAATCTGCTATGCTCTACGTGTAGAAAAGCAATCACTGCAGCATCACAAGGAGTAAGTCTAGACCCACTGATTCATCCCCTGATAGACTATCCCCTTAATAATTTAAGCTCTTCACCGCTTCTCTGTGCTTGAGATGTAAGGCTGTGGAAGGCCATGAGAAAAATGGAGGACTCTATCGAGCTGCAGAAGGCCTGAAAAAGCTGAAGAACTGCGTCACTAAAAATAGGTTAACTTTGAACATTCATAAATATCTATATAGTGACTCGGCCCTTGGAAGAGAAGGTGCCAGTTGAAAGGGAAGATATCCGGTAACCAGGAACACAGTAGCCCTTTCCATCGTGTGAACTTTCGCGTTCCTCTCGTACCGTGATTATTATTTTTATTACTGATAAAGAGTTTCGACCCTCATCCATGTTCTGCTCTTAATTCATAGACGATGCAGTGTGTTTGATCTCTGACCGCCCATATTGTCTATTACAGTTGAGTAATGTTCCTCCATACGCCGGGGGAACAATAGTTTCCATAAGCCTAGGTAGTAAAGATCTTACCTGTACTCGGACAGAACCTGATCTAGAGCTACTGCTGACTCGCAAATTATGCAAAAGTACTAACTAAACAGTACACATAGCAGAAACGTCTACGAAAACCTGCTTCATAAGAAGGTAGTCAGGGAGACTTCTAACTGGACATGTGGGCAGCTACAGTTAGGAGATAACAGTGTCACTGTAACACCACTCCTTAAAGGAGACGCAAACGCCCCAGAAAGCATAAAGGAGGACTCCCCAAACTGTCATTGGGTTGAAATATCAAACGTATGACGATGGATTACAACAGACATACTCCCCAAAGAGCATAAAAAAACACTCTCACCAACGATTCAACATCCACCCTATTAGTCAACAGCTACATGAGAAATTTGGAACATTAGTCCAAATGGCATGAATACATAGATGAAGTACAAGGGTCCTAGAGTAGTTACCGAAGGTAAAAATATCCCACTTATTTTTATATCATTCATCGTTTTGTTGTGCCAAGACTAATTCTTCCATCTATACCAATCTGCCCCTATCATTTGTGCAATGTGGATATGGGTTCCCAATTTTCTTCTGTCCTACACCCAGTTATCTTGCCCTCTCAACTCACTTAGTACCGCTTTCTCCGAACTTTCTGAGACCTAGCCAAAGAATTGCCCAACGGAAAGAAATTTGCAATTTCCAGCAGCACAATTTATAAAACCTTCCAAAACAAACTAAAATACCTCCTCAAATAGCGTTCAGCATAGCTGCAGCATTCGAGAGGAGAGATTGTACTGGAATCCGCCAGAGATTTAGAGCCTTCCTGAAACAATAAGAAGAGAGCGCAAGGAAAGCGTAAGCTCGTCTGAAAGATATTGGATATTTGTTTGGTAGCTATAAATGCAAATGTATTGTAGGTCAGGATATTGGATATTGGAGGTCACCAAGTGCGGTGCTTTTGAATGTAGAATGGAGGGCGCACATGATAAGTTCTTTAACGATGTTTACAGTATCCTGCGACAATGGGAATTCATAATCCTTCGTGTTCAGACGCTACTCTTATGGAAGCGTATTGTTCCAAGCTTTGTTTTTACTGCACTAGTAAACTTTGTGTTTTTGTAAGTCGCCTACACATAAAATTTATTCCTAGACCATTTGTGAGGAGCAAACTCAGTGGATTGTTTCTTCTCTGCTTGGTGTTGTTTGTCATTCTGTTGTGTAAATTGTTAAAGCCACTGGTAGCAAAGGCTAATACTGGTACGTACTCGCGTGTAGAAATAATGGTTTTTTGTCATTACTAACCATGAGAAAGCAAGTAGTACTTTTAAATACACTACTAGGTTTGTTCATGACATTTGATTACATTCGTTCCTTACCATACCTTAGCTAGAACAGTGTTAGGAGTAGTGCTACAGTTAATAGGAGTGTACCATTATACTGCCCACCTGTTGTTGATTACTTCATTTATGTCAAACGTATATAATGGGAAACCACTTTACATAGTTCGTTCTCCATGAGCAAAGCTGTAAATCCGAAATAATTCGATAATAGCTATACATTCCGTTAATTAAGTGTCACTTCCTATTTTCTCACATATCCTAACAAAAGATTATGCACAGCTAATAACATCAGTTGTAGACTTCGTGGGCTGATGCAAACAAGCAATACTAAAGAGCTTAACGTAACTGTGTGCTGTCCTTAGTTGCATCAGTTTCAAGCAATACTGTAACCACGGGTAGTTTTTGGCTGTAATATGAAACAACTTGCTGGTTTGCATAGTTCAAACAGCTTCGGGACTTATAGCATATCACTACCTAGACACGGGTTTATTTTAATCAGAAAGTACTTCAGCTATTTTAGTACTCTAAGTAGCCAAATTCAGATGTACCTACTCAACCTTTAACATAATCAATTTAGTGTGCTATTGTACTGAGTAAGTTGTTCGCATTGCTTGATTTTGTTGAAGCTACTTCACTAGCTTGCCTAACTGGTGCTGTTTGCTCGTTTTAACGTTCTTCACAGCAGTTCCTATGTATGTAGGCTATGGTACATTAACAAGGGTAATAATCCTTCCGTCATCTACTTTTAGTGTAGTGCATTCGCGTACTAGGCCTTCATGTCACCTGGTTGCTACAGTTAGTGTAAACAGGGATTTTAAAATGCTTTTAGTACCCTTTGGAGGATCTCGTAGGCCACCCAGACTGACGCTCTAAATGAACCATTTAGCGCACCAATTCTCTTTTAAGTATGATTTCCACCTACCCACATAATAGCCTCACTTATTGTCTGTGGGCTGAGGTGTCCAGGCTGATTCAGGTGAGCGAGACTTGGACACATTAATTGGAGTTTGAGTGCTTAAACCAACCAGCCACATTTATGTAGATCAGTCGGAAGTGTATATTCATGCTCCATGCCTATGTATTCGTTTTTTTTAAACTTTTTCTTTTCTCTGTTGAGCTACGTTTTCACTCCGGTTTTTCTCCTGTTATTAAGTTCTCAGTGTCATAGGCCCTACATCCGATAGTAGTGCTTAGTATACCTCCTGATTGTTATGCATGGTACTTTGTAACATTTACACTAATTGCGTAACATTTCTAAAATATTTAATATTAGATAAATTCAATAAACAATAAATTAATAAGACTGTTCTTAATTATTTTAGTTTTCAATTTTTCCTCTGGCTCATTCTCGGAACTTGTATCTCTTTGCCTAAGAAATGGAAACATTATGTCAACTGTTGAACTTAGCCGTTGGATATCCAAAGGCATATATGGTGCACTCATTATCGTTAATAAACTTGCACATCGTCGAAATCATCCTCTTTCGGTAAGTGTGTAGTGCAATTCCTTGGACCCTTTTTTACTTTATCGGTAGTTTTTATAACTTTCAGTTGTGTACTAATTATATATATATATATACATAGGATTGGGTTGGGTAGAAAGCTCGGGCTGCTTTCGCTAACTTACACCGTCTCTGGCGTAGGCGTGACATCCGGCTGTCAACCAAGGGACGTGTATACTGCTCACCAGTTCGCTCCGTCCTTCTCTATGGCGGTGAGACGTGGCCATTGAGAGCGGAAGACATGAAGAGATTGTCTGTTTTTGACCACAGATGTTTACGATCTCTTTCTCGCGTTAGGTGATATAATAAGGTAAGTAATGTTGACGTTAGGCGTAGAGTGTTGGGCAAAGAGGGAAAATCACTCGAAGAGGCTATGAAGTTACATAGATTGAGATGGTTAGGCCACGTGCTGCGCATGCCTAACCATCGTCTCCCCCGACGGGCATTACTAGCTGATATAGGTGCAGGTTGGAAGAGAGTAAGTGGTGGCCAAACAAAAACATGGCATCAATCCATGAAATCCCTGACAGTTAAACTGAGTCAGGTAGGGAGATGCAGACTTCCGGGTTGGGGCCCGTCCTCGGGACTCTAAGAATCAATGGCTGGAGACAATAGGTGACATGGCTCAAAATCGTTGTCAATGGCGCAGGTGTATCCAGTCTCTGTAATCTTTCATATTCCTTTCTACCATTACTCATTCTGTTTCACTCTTATGCTTATCTAAATTCTATTGATTCTCTTCTCTCCTTTTCCTGTCTACCTTTGTGTGCTATTTGGAACGTGGCAACTCGAACTGCTGCACTTCGGTGCCAAGTTCTATGTTGAATCCAGCATATATATATATATATATATATATATATATATATATATATATATATATCAGTAAGTATCATATCAACTATTCACTTTCAACAATCTTCTCTCATTCTACCAAACATGTAAAAAACAACTCTAGTATGCGAATTCATCTGTATTGAATCGGAAAGTTCATAGTTTTTTGCACTAAAGCATATGTTTCAAATCCAGGGGATCCTAGTAAGCATTATCCTAAACGTCTCATTTCATATTTGAAATGCCTAAACGGCTATGATATGTTCAAACGGAAAGATGTTAAGTTATATACGTTTTTATGAGTAGTATTATGCCTAAATATATTGTAAAAAGTCAGTAGCTGAGATCAGTAAATCAATACTGTACGTCTATTTTGTATTTGCCCCCTGTACTGTTAGATTCCTAACCGAACCAACTTTTCTAAGCTGTTCATAAGTCACTCTTCATATTGTGGAAAGAATAGAAACATGTTGAAGAATTGTAATAACAGTGATTATAAAAACGCATTTCGTGAAGGCTTTAAATAAGCGTTGATTGACTGACTGAAATTCACTACTGGACCTTGCACAGAAGTGCAGCAGTTCAACTTTTTACACGCCATGTAGCACATTAAAATAGCAAAAAAAATAAATTCAAAAGAACCACAATGAGCAGAAATGTGAGGGAGAACGAATAGTAACATGAGAAAAAGCACGACGGTTTAGTCGATATAGGGCATCAAAAAGAGCGAATGCATCTCTACCATTAAGGATGCCTTTTAGCCATATCCTCAACAATCTTTAGCCATTGGTTCTTAGCATCTCGAAGACCCCAGACAGTTCCTCCCTACGTGGCCTACTCAAATCAGCTGTTAAAGAATTCATGGGCTGATGGCAGGTTTTGGTTTGACTACCCCTAACTCTTTTCCAATCCAATCCTATATTGGCTAACATTGCTTGTCTAAGAAGTCACTATCTCGGTATTTTAGCCATCCCAATCTATACAGATTCAAAACCTCATCAATTAACTTGCCCGCCTTACCTAACACTACGCCTAACCTTAATATTACTCCCCATATTATATCATTTCACACGGCGAACGTTTGTGGTCAAAGATAGCCAGCCTTTTCATATCTTCCACTTTTAGTGGTCACAGAATGAACTACTGTGTGGTACATACGTCCTTCGATCAATAGCCGGATATGATATCGTCTCCAGAGATGATGGAATATGGTATATATGCCACAGCAGGCTTTCGCATCCATGCTTAGGTTTCGTCAGCGATTAGTCCATTAAGGCTGATATGACTTACCATATAAGTGAAGTGGTCAACACGCTCTACCACTTCACTCCCTATCTTTAAGCTAGGAGTTGGCGTAGTCCAGTCCTTCAGCATCATCTTACACTTGACAGGGGTGAAATGCATGCAAAAACATTGCAAAATTTCTACTCAAGATATTCAGAAGATTCTGCATTTTGTCAGCGTCTTCACCTAAGACTACAATTAAATAATTGCAACAAAATGATAAATATAAATTATGTCTATAATGAAGTTGCTACAAATGGCGTAGCTTATCTTTCCCCCAGTGCCATTAATAGATATGTATATATTCTCTAATATTCCGCAATAATTCAATACCTCCACTTTTTCTTTTTACTGGAATTTCAGTTTTTCATTATCTCAAGTACAATCAGTATTGGATGCATTGTACTCAGTATGTATATATCTGGTGTAACTTTGGCCTATATGATTCTCAATATTTGCTTAACTCTACCAGCACTAATACATCATAATGTTATATCACGGATATGGAATTTGATAAAACCTATTTTAATTCGTATTGAAGCTGAATTCGATAAAAATGCTTTAGAATCTCCTGAAGAACGTGAAGCCGGTGAACGTGAACTTTATGAACCGATTGTTGCAGCTGCAAATGCTGCCAATGCTAATCTACGTCATAATGAATTAGACAGAAATGAATTCATTAAACCAGAGCCTGGTCAGACAGATACAGACGATTTAGACACATCTGAAGCGGTATTTATCAAACAGTTTGGTATGTTGTTTCCTATTATAAACTATTAAAGTTCAGCTTTTTGTAGTGCCAAGCTTAATTTTCAAATATTTTCGTGTAAACACACTTTATTTTGTCAAAATACCTACGTTATGTGTATTCTTTTTATCATGGGTCGTATGTTACGCTGAACTGTCGGAGCAAAAACAAATAAAACATATTAAGATGAGAAAGTACTCAGATCTACCTTCTTTCTAGAGGTAGAGCAACAGGTTCTCATATATCTGTATTTATGTATATCTTTATTAGCTCTTAAAAACTGGCATCTAACTACATGTAAAACGGTAGATCTTTCTAGGTTAGGTGATCTAGAAAAAAGGTCAGTCTTTGTTAGGCATACACTTGTATATATAATCATTCTGTAGGTTGGAACAGGGCAAAGTCATTCCGCAGTAGTCGTAATCCTACAGCTCCTAAGTGGGGCACACTTCGGCTTTTCACTTTCTCCAATACATTTTACGTTATTTTGTTGATCTGAAATGATAAAGTTGCATAACTCACAGTTAACGTTTTTATTGACACATTTTATAACTTCTCTTTTTTGTAGTTCTTGTTCTTAGAGTTATATTGTGTTAAGAAAGGTGCCACAGGTTAGGTTTCTAATTAAACTGGTTATTATTTATTATTATACCTTTGGATTCCGAGTGGAATTTAGGGCTTCAGCAACATATCTCCATTTTGTCCCGTTTTCTGCAGTCCTTTTTAGGTGACTCCACGATTATCTATACTCTTTTATTTCTTCTCAAATGATCTCCTGCATGTCACCCTCAGACACTCTCCCTTACATTTCTACTCATTATGGTTCGTTTGAATCTGTTTATTGTCTGCCTTTGTGTGCGCTACATAGCGTGTGACAACTTGAAGTAACTATATTTTTGTGCAAAGTTCTCTGTTGAAAGTCAGTCAGACACTAAACCTTCAAGTTGTCAACACATGCAACTGTAGGGCCTCCACAACACGGTAGTAAGTATTGAGGAGTTCAGAAAGATAGGATGAGTAACCAAGTAGGAACTATATCTTCTTTAATTCCATTATGGGTAAGTTTCACAGTATTATACAGTAATATTTACTGATGACGTTTCGAGCACAATTTATTGCTCATAATCATATCAAGGTACTCACACAACTTTCTTACCTCGTTTATTATTTTTCTTATTCCTTCACGTTCCCAGTGGAACATAGGGCTTCAAGCTAGAGGCTTGAAGTTTCCTTAGCAGTGTTTATTTTTACAGGATGGGGTTGCTAGCCTCATACCCAACCTTTCCTCTTTACCAGCATTATTTCTGGCTTAGCGAGGTAAAGGAGTGCGTCGGCCGGGGATCAAACCCCGGACCATGTGCATGGTCGGCGAGCGTCCTAACCGCTATGCCACCGACGCACTTTGACTTGATTGGTAGTAGTATTTTCCATATTTCCAGTATGAGTGATGAGTCATTCCTATTGCATGTGTTGGGTGTAAACTCAATGAACCAGGATTCAGTAATCAATCTCTCTCTCCACCTACATAGATTACTTCTTAGAATTTTAACCCTCTCCCACCCTATTGTGTGGTTGTGTGTTAATGCATGCAGTGCAATCACTGAGCTTTTTTCTAAATTACTTATCTTCTCGGGGTCAACCATTCTTACCTTAGCTAAATTCTTATGTTCCGACAATCTGACTACCCTTGATCTACTAGTTTGACCTATGTAGTTTACCTCACAGTCATTGCAAGGTATTTTATAAATAATATTATTTTAAGATTATAGGTTTCCAGGCCGTAGGTGTTACGAACTTCCTGGAATAATTTGAGCGCCGAGTCAGATTGATTCATTATAAATTATTTAAATTAATCCCAGCGTGCTAAGAAAATCAAAACAAGATTTTTCTGAACGTTTCGCTGTGTAAGCCACAGCTTCTTCAGCAGATTTATTCGGATTTTCATTAATCATCAAAATATATAGTCAAAGATTTGACATACATATATATATATGATTGACCTATATCTTCTTTATGATTTGTAAGGCTTATCTTTATCTATTGAGAGTGATGAATTCCATTTCGTTTGTTTCACTGGGTTTTCCCCGCTTCACTTGCCCTCTGCTGTGCTTGCTAAAAAATAAAAGTTCTACAATATTATGAGTTTTCGGTTGGTAATTTGAACAAATATTCTGATGCAAAAGTTGGTTTCTAAACAACCACTCACTGTCTTTCAGTTAAGAGTTTGTATTGATAAGCCCTCTGGAATTGTTTCCCTTTTATTTCGCGTAAACTACATTCTGGGCATATTCTGATTTTTGCGTAGGAAGTTCAGACATTTCGTCAGCCTCTTTTCCCAACAGTCATTTCTTTTTTTCACGATAACAAGTCAATTTCCTAAATGTACAAGTCAAACAAAGTTATCTTGTGTGTATAACTGAAGTTGTGAATTTCTCCTAAAAGAAATCGGGACGATAATCTAAAGGATTATTCAAAAAAACACGTAGAGTGACACATAAAATCCAAAAACACAGGATTTGTCCAAGATACGGTACTACATTTAGCTCAAAATATGAAATATAATATAAAAACCTCAATTTTGAGGTGTCTGTGGCTGATTGTCTTCAAAAGCGTCAGTAAAAAATACCCGCAAGGCTGTGTCAAAGGCGATCCACGTTTCGATTTAAACAGAGCGCGAACTCCAGACACGGGCTAAAGTGATACGAATAAACAATGTTCAACTATAAGAAAATAAATACGATACATCAAATAGATTAATAAGTACATTAAGTGAGTTAGCAAACAAATAGCAAAATCCTGGTTAAGAATTAACAAATATAATTCATACTACTTTCTTAGTGGTAAGTAGTATAAATTAACACAAGAAAGAATAACGAAGGAGAGATAGGAATTAACAGAAGTACATAATTATTTTTATTTCCCTTTACTTTGATTTGTATTTTTCAGTGTCAGATATCAGTTCAGAAGAATTAGATCGGTTGTTTTCTGAAGCGCTCGGTGAACATGAAAATATATCACAGAATAGGCGGCGCCAGAAACCAGATTTCATTGATTCTCGAAGATTTAATGACATAATTGATGATTCATGTATTAAACAAGAACCATATTCCCCGAGTTCATGGGCAATGGGAAGTGAGTACGCGACGGATGATGATGAAAGCAGTGATATCATGAATGAGGTAATTTTACTTGACAAATTAAAAGTAACTTATTAATCACATATTTATGCGTTGAAGTTTCTGTAGCAATTTGGTTAAGTTTTGGGTGTGGAGTTGCTAGCACCACGCCCCAACCCTCCCTCTTTATCCGGGCTTGGGACCGGCTAGAAAACTAGCGAGCTAGTAATCTAGTAATCCTGGAGAGAATAAAGGACGCACTGGATACAGAACTCCGACCAGAACAAGCTGGATTCAGGAAAGGCAAATCATGTTCTGACCAAATTGCAACTCTACGCATCATCATCACAGAACAAAGCATGGAATGGCAATCAAACCTCTACCTCAACTTTATAGACTTTGAGAAGGCCTTCGATAGTGCAGCGTTGACCGCGAAGTAATTTGGAAACTACTCAAGTACTACAGCGTACCCCAAATATTCATCAACCTTATTCAACAGCTGTACGACAACGGCACATGTCAAGTGATCCACAACGGAAAACTCAGTGAGGCGTTTGGAGTAAACACAGGAGTCATACAAGGGTGCTTATTATCACCAATGATATTCCTCAGTGTGGTGGACTGGATTATGCGTCAGACAGTGGGAAACGAGGAAACAGGGATATCCTGGACCGACGTGAAGAACCTAGAAGACCTGGATTTCGCGCGTGGATGATTTATGTTTGATGTCACACAAAATTGGAGAATTACAAGCGAAAACCGACAAACTGATCGAAGAAGCAGCAAAGACAGGACTCCAGGTGAACATAGACAAGACGGAGGTTATGAAAATAACCGACAAACAACAACAGCAGCAACATCCAGCGCCAATCACCATCAACGGGAGGGATTTGAAAGAGGTTACTTCATTCACTTATCTAAGGAGCATTGTCTCAACTACAGGAGGAACAGACGAGGATGTCAAATCGAGCGAGAATCGGGAAGGCGAGAAACACATTCATCAACCTGAAACCAATCTCGAAATCTTCGTCACTCCAAAATCAACAAAATTCGGATTTTCAATACAAACGTCAAGTCAGTTCTTCTATACGGATCAGAAACTTGGCGAGTCACCAAGAATATTTCCAACAGCCTGTTGCAGACCTTTATCAACAACTGTCTTCGTTCTATACTGAAGATTAGATGGCCGGAAAGAATCACAAACAAGAAGCTATGGGAACAAACAAAACAGGAACCAATCGCCCAGCAAATATGCAGGAGAAAGTGGAGATGGATTGGACACTCGCTGAGGAGGCCATTGGGTGACATCGCGCGTCAGGCCATGGCTCGAGTGGAACCCGAAAGGGAAGCGGCAAGTGGGACGTCCAAGAGTGACATGGAGGAGATCGTGTGAAGAAGAGTTGAAACAGTATGGACTAACATGGATGTAGGTGAAAAGCACATCAGAAGACAGAAGCAAGTGGAGACGTGTAGTTGAAGCCCTATGTTCCACTAGGAACCCAAGGGAATAATAGTATTAATCACATATATATGTATAATATATATGCTTCCATTATGGATAAGATTTTATTTTGATAAATCACACAGTATTATACAGTAATATTTACTAATGACCACATTTCGTGCACAATTTATTGCCGCTCATAATCATATCAAGTCACTCACACAACTTTCTTGCTTCTTTTATATACATGAGTAAAAATTGATGATTAGACATTTGATTAAAATCAATTTAAGACTTGCGTGAAACAGAAAGGAAGACGAAGTACATTCGGAACCAGTATGATGAGATTTAGCTACCCTTCCTGACCTGGATTGAATTGTGGAACACGAAAACCTACCGAAATCTAGATTAGTTGACCCGAATAAGATAAGAAATCTAGAGAATAGTTCAGCCATGGCACTACATGCAATTGTGCACACAACCATTCAATAGGATGGGATAATTATGACAGTTCTAAAATCTAATATGTATCAAGGCGGGGACAGAGAGGTTGATAACTGAAGCCTTTTATTTATCAAATCAACTGAAAATACGTGTAATAGAAGTGGTTCACCGCCTGTCCAGGTGGACATTTGGAGAATTCTACCATCCACCCGTACGACGAATAGGAAGGAATAAGGAAAACTGTAGAACAAATGTTTCAGAGTTGTATAGTTAAGATGGATGATATGATTATGAGCAATAAATTGTATTCAAAACGTTGACCTCCAGTGAATGATACTGTTTCACTGTGTGATATATGTTGTAAACAAACTAATATGGAATTACAAACCACCACACGTAGAATAAATAGCTTAAAAATATTGTTAAGTTAGTGGGAATTCACAGGAGCTGTCATCTGAGCCAGGCTGATTTCTTAGCGTAGAACTTTTCACAAAAGTTTTTATTCCTGTGTAGCACACATGAAGGTCGAGAAAAGCAGCTATAAAATCCTGAGATGTACGGGTGATTAATGAGGGTGTAATAAACCTCTACAATTACAAGGAATAAATTGGAATCTATACTGTTAGTTCTTAGTGTAGCTAGAGATGGTGTACATTTTTTTTCATTTGGCTCAAACTAACAGTCGAATACTTACTTCATGGATTAAGGCTAATATGTTTTAACCTGACCACTTGTAACTCTTTTCTAGCATTACTGAAACATACACATCCCCTAGTTATCATCTCAATCGATGTAATTTCACAGTTTCATCGATTAACTTTCTATCAAAGAAAGATCTCACTGATTCAACGTGTTGTCTCGTGTACTGGAGAGATGTACCCTCTTCGATTGAAAACACTGACAAAATACTGTGAGTCTTTTGAACACCCACCCTATAAGCGAAAATTCATATTATGTTCAAGATACAATTTCCTCCCTAATACTCTACGCCTAATCTCATTATTATATATTTGATTATATGATCATTGAGAAAAATATGAATTCAGCACTTAGGAGAGTCAGTGCGGCAACAGTTCCGAAAAAAAACCAATGTTCATAAAACTGCAGTTCCTCGGTGACAACATCAGCGAAGTAATAACACAGCGAACACCTGAAGAATGCAGTTAAAAGAGCTTATTATACAGTAGAGGTAGGTTGTCTCTTCACAACCACCCCTATTCTACGTTCGAGAAATATGGATAAACTACCTAGGTCTGCCTCCTCTATGTGTGTCTACCAGTTTGACTGCAGTTGCTGAGCCAGCTACATTGGGCGTACAATTAGTCAGGTTCATCATCGTATTTCCGAACATTATCCAACATGGTTAAGCAAGGAATAAACAAGATCTATTCGTAGCTCTAGTGTAGCACACCTTGTAGATAGTGAGCATAAGGTTGATGTTAATACTGCATTTAAAATTATTGATCGCATTCCTACTAATCTTAATTTTGCTCTACGAGTTCGTCTTCTACAAACGACAGCTGAAGCAATAGGAATCCACCTGAAGAAGCCAAACCTGTGTGTTCAGAAGAAATTTGTACAGCCGCTTTCTTTACCTTGGCCATCACTACATGAATGTATAAACCGGACTACTTCGCCCCCTCCTCCTAAACCTTTAAAAATTATAATTGTCCAAATTAATTTATTCTAACCATTTCTACCTTTTAATTGTATGTATTAATTTTCTTCGTCAGTTATCACCCCATTGACATTTTGACACTGACTAATTATTGTTAACAAACATGTCAGTGCCACTTGATTGGTAAACTGTTGTGTATTGTAATAAAATGCTATGTATACATATTAGAGTAGAGCCAGAGATGAGGATCTAATTGAAAAGTAAATATTTCCTTGCTCAATCTTTCTGTTTTCTAAATGTCTAAATGGGGATTTTTTCCATATAGTAATACTTAATACTAGAAATAGAGTCTGTACGGCTGGCGGTCACTTTGTATCTCCCACTCCCAATGGGCCATGATTCCCAGTTATTATAAAGAAAGACAAATGGGGTGGGGGAACTGTCATGTCATGTCGAATACACGTCCATTGATGGATAGTCGGATGTTACAGCACTGAAGATGTTTGTCTACAGGGGAAATCAAAGTTTGTGCAGTTCAACGATTCATACCCCATTTTTGTATAATAATATTGATTATTATTAATAATAATAATCTACTTTATTCCAAAAACAGTACTTATAATACATAATGGAATTCTCAGCATTTGTCATAATATATTGCATCTGATTTACTTAAAATATGAATAAAATTAAAAATTAAAACAAAATTAACCAGAGGAATTTGTCCACGTTTACGATATAAAGTCGAAAATATTCGAAGCACGAACTGAGAATATTAAATATAATAATAATAACAGTGAGTTTGTTTCAAACAGTATTGTCGATTCAGTTTGAAAATTTTAGCATGTTATAGATTATTGGATCTAATGTTCTGCTGATATAGTATGGTGAGGGGAAATACAAGAAATAACAGTTATAACACAGCTTAAATGATGTTCACACTTATGAAAAAATTGAGAGGATTATAAATATAAGAAGAATAACAGCCAAGCTTGGTAGAATGAGGATGGAGAAAATGGTTTATTTACTAGCGCAAAGAAGGTTAGTTAGTTCATGCCTAACACTATTTTCATCACATAAAGTACGTGCCAAATATGGTATAGGCATAAAATAGACTCACACAAAAACTTGGAGGATCTTGACTTCGCCGATGATATGTGTGTCTGATTTCCCACAAACTGGAAGATATGCAAGCGAAAAGCAACAAGTTGGAAGAAGAAGCATCAAAGATAGGAGGGAATTCAGGTGAACATAGAGAAAACAGAGGTGATGAAGATTCCTGGGCAACAACAACAACAATCAGCATAAATGAAAGGAACCTGAAAGAAACAACCTCTTTTACCTACCTGGGAGGCACCGTTTCAACTACAGGCGGACGGAACTGATGAGGATATCAAAGGAAGGATTGGGAAAGCAAGACAAGCTTTCATTACTCTCAAGTCTGTGTCGAGGTCAACAGCACTCAGCATCAAAAATAAGATCCGAATTTTCAACCCCAATTTGAAGTCAGTGCCGCTTACTATACAGATCAGAGACTTGGCCAGCGCGTCATAAAGAGTATCTCAAACAAACTACAGACCTTCATTAACAGCTGTCTTCGCTCAATACTCAAGATCAGATGGCCAGAGTTGATAAGCAACAGAGATATCTGGGAGCGAAGAAACCAGGAACCGATTGTGAAACAAATAGACAGGAAGAAATGGAGATGGATTGGCTGGCCATACTCTGAAGAAACCATCAAGTGACATCACTAGACAAGCCATTGCTCGAGTGGAACCTGAAAGGAAAGCGGCGAGTTGGTCGTTAGTGCAAGGGTGACTTGGAGGAGGTGATGTGAAGAAGAGATGAAAGCGTGTGGGCAGACTTGAAGCCAGGTGAAGACTCTAGCAGAGAACCGAATGCAATGGAGACGCACGGCTGAAGCCGTATGTTCCTCTAGGAATTAAAGGAAACAATAATAATAATAAATATGGTATAGTGGAATTTTTATACTTAGACGTACGTGCATAAAGTCTTCTAAAAAAAACTTCTTGTTTTACCTGACGAGGAGACACAAGGTTGGAGCTGCGGGTGCTGCAGTGGGTGCTCACAGTTCCTCAAAATTCCTTTTTATTATTATCATCATTAATTTTCTATAACTGATGGAATTATTTTCAACACTCTATTTTTTCATCCAGGTCGGTACAACTTCATATTTGCCAAATAAAGAAATAGAACATGAGGATTTTGTGTTTATCAGAAAAAAAGAGGGATGAATAGGCCGATTACTATTGTCTTCATTTCACTTTCAAATATTTCACCGACATATATATATATACATTGCATATACTGCATATAATCTAAATCATACACATTTTCGCATTCTTCATTACCACTCAATGAGTTAACTAATCAACGAATCTGTCAGTCATATCAATCAATGTAAGAAGAAGAATTAACTAAGCGAAGGGAAAATATCACCACTGCAAACTGAAATAACAATCGAACAATATTCATTTGTGTAAATCTATGTGTGTGTTTCACTATTTTGCATATTGTGTAGGTGTGCGTGTGCGTGTATGTCTTTTTTCTGTCTCCCTATTCCTTTGTATATGCATTTAGATTATCTCCTCTTGTGGCTTTTCTTTTAAGAACGGAAATTTCAGAAGACTGATATCAGGGAACAAAAGAATATTCTCTTCGATAGTCTCTTCATCATCATTAGGTTATACAGTTATATGAGTCAATAATAATTAAAGAATTATTAACAATAACTGATGTTTTATTTCAATTTTGATCATGGACTACTCATCATTTGCTCTGCTGCTGCTGCTGCTGGATTCAACATTGAACTTGGCACCGAAGTGCAGCAGTTCGTGTTGCCACGTTCCAAAAGTGTTCTTTCCAGCGTTCAAGGCGTCTATCCTGAGAGCTAATTAAGGAGCCATTTTTCTCAGAAATAGTCTCACTTATGATTTGCCTTCTCCCACCCGTTTCCCTGATGAGTCTAAAGTGTTGCCTATCGCCGATGCTTTTTCCATCTCTTTCGCCTTTGTCAACCACCACCACTGTTCACGGTCCTTGCGGAGACTTTTCGTAAGTTTCCTTTTGTGCAGCTTTCGCTCCTCATTGAATTCGGAGCTCGCCGGAATAAGTCTTCTAGCATCTATCAGTTCGGATGAGGCAGTCGAAATCCAATGGTTTTTACTCACTTTTGGATTTACCTTATTCACAGCTTTTACAGCTGTATCTATGGCTGACTGAATATTCTTCCAGGCTTCTTCAGGGTGAGCACAGCTGTCGAACTCAGATATGTGTTTAGTAAGTTCTTCCTCAAATAGGGACTTAGTTTCCTGATCGAGCTGGGGACGTGATGGGTTTACCGCTAGCTGTTTCCTACGTCCGTTCAGTCGTAAGCACACACGAGCGCGGACCAGTGCGTGATCGGTATCTACACACGTGTTCCAGAAGGAGCAGCAATCTCCTACCGACCCACGCCAACGATAGCTTATTGCTATGTGGTCTATTTGTGTCCAGCGTTGGTTTGATGATGGGGGTCGCCAGGTCAAACAGTGTCTCTCCTTGTGTTTGAAGTTAGTGCTTACAAGAAACAAATGATTATCTGAACAGAACTGTAGGAGACGGTCACCGTTGTCGGTTCGCTGGCACGGAACGCCATATGTGCCAACGACATCCTTCTCAGATTGACACAATTTCCCTACTTGAGCATTAAAGTCACCAGCTAGGACGACTATATCTGAGCGTTTAGCCTTTCGCAGCAAACTAGACAGCTTTTGGTAGAACTCATCCTTCGTTTCATCCGAACTGCAGTCAGTGGGGGCGTAGGCGGAGATTACGAAAAGGCATCGGCGAGTAGTGCAGTCCTTTCTCCTTTTCACTGATCCGTTCAGACGGACAGCACACATTCGGCTATCTACCGGGATCCAGTCAAGTAATATCTTTTCTGCCCTAGTACTCAAAGCTATCCCTACACCAGCTAATCCTCGTGAGCTAGCTGTAGCATCTCCTGACACCCTCAAGGTGAATTTTGCAGATTCATCCTGTTGGCCAGGTGGGGTTAGGTGAATAACCACACTTGGGTCTTGTATGCATGTTTCTGAAACACAACATACATCAATGGCTCGGGATGCCAGAGTCTTGGCTAGTGATGCCTGTTGTCCTATTTGGCAGTGTCCTAACATTAAATGCTCCTATATGAAATTGGTGGCGTGGCTTTAGGAGACTATCGGTGGTGGTTTTTTGGCTTCCGTCGTTTTCAGTGCACACAGAGTGAAGAGCCATCAAGTAGAGGAGTTGCATTAGTAGAAGGAAGGCAAGATAATAGAGATGAAGATGGAGACAAAGATGAGTGAGGATTAGAGAGGTTTCGCGTGCATTTCGGATTGTGAGGGCGATTGTTACTTCCCGGCTGCCCACACCGTGGAAGTTACTCATTATTTAGACAACTATTGAAGACCAGATAGTACTGGACAGCTGTTAGTTCCTAGTTTTTGGGACTCTTCGGCAGTACGTAATCCCCGGGGCTCAAACCCAGGTTCCAAGACATGCTCCTAGACCATTCAGCTACTCAGTTGGCCCATGAATTCCAACTTCCACTAATTCGTGATTTTAGTGTGGTGTCATTCCCCACCGGATGGACCCTACTGGTCACGACTTCTCACTAGTAGCACTTGAGGCAAATTTTTCCTGTAGCCATTCACTGTTGGGCATCAGATCAGTGGTTGAATAATAGTCTATGAGCTTGTCTTGTAACTGGAAAGTCTTAAGTTCTAATCCCACTGGGGGTGCATACTGCCAGTGAGTGCCAAACTGGGACGAAACAACTGTCGAGTACTCCTTGGTAGTTTTCAATGGTTCTTTAACTGATGAAAATCCCTACAAGCTAACTCTTGAAAATTATTGTTGTAAATAACATTGAATCAATAAAACCAACAGATTATCCTTCAAAGGTATTCACAAGTGATAATATACATTATTATAGCACTAAATTGGGCAAGGGTAAACAATAGACCAGTCAGATACCTCAGCGTTACAAATGGTTGCTAGTCATAATCCTCGTTGACAATACCTCCTAGATTCGGTTTTTTACCTCTCTGTGGAAAATGTGTTGATAGGGTGGAATAAAACATGCATATTTGGAGGGATAATGGCTCTGCAAAAGTATTACCAGGCCATTGATCGTTATACATTCAGAAGCAACCCTTTCACATGAGGAAGTTTGTATGAGTTGGTAAGTGGTACATAATTGGTGATTTCTTAGACACTTTCTTCTCGAAATCAAAGCTCTCGCTTAGTAATGTCTTGCGTATATGCAACCAGTATCTGCTACAACTGCAGAAGTAGAGAATACACTGGTTTCAAATGCCTAAAACCGCTTCCATGAGAATCTGGAACCAGGTTTGCAGCATATTAGAGATATATACCTTATATGACTCATTTTTAATACATATATATTGTAGACACGCTTCTTTGTAAATTAAGTGCCACTTTTCACCAAGAAGAATTTGATTGGCTGTTTCAAGGTCGTCTGAAGTTGCTGTCTATTCTTTACTGTTGCCCTAAATTGAATATGAAATGAATTAAAAGAAATAATGCGGAATTTACGCGGGTTCCACAGAAAAGGTTAGATTAGCAACACTGAGTGGATCTGTTTCTTTTGTGCACACAGAGCACCGACTGTTTAAAGTGAATCACAATAACCTCTTTCTTATATTTGGAGTATTCGGTATCTAGGGGGTTTTTGACAGTTTATTTTGGTATCCAATAGATGATAGGTGAAGACTCTCCAGTACTAGCTTTATGACCACCTGTTCGAAGCAGGTTGTTTAATATATCGGACTGATGATGGTTCCTACTACACCATTATTCGCCTACACTGGTAATGGTAGGTGTTGTCAAGCAGGATAATTTAAGTTCCTAAAGCGGTGGTGAAGAATTCTTATGTGTTCAGCTTTGAATAGCTCTCATTTGTATTCAGTTCGTTTTTCTCAGTTGTGTGATAGAACTAATCGTTTATGTATGTGTAAGAGACAATCTTCACCCAATTCAGTCCAGTCTAAGCACCTAGTGAGTATCCTCAGCATTCATACAATAAAAATCAGACTTGCAGTCAGTCTGGTGCATAAGTAATTCATGCATGTTGTTGTGCACTATTGATCGATTATTATGAGTAGTTGAGTGCCACTCATAGTATATACCTTGGTGCGTGACTGATACAGAACAGCTGAGTCTCATTCCTTATCAATAAGAACCGACGATTTCACGAAGCATCCAACCACGAACTCTCAGATTACAAAGTGAAGGTGTTCACCACTGGATCAATGAAGGCAGTGTGTAGTTATTTAAATCTTTCTAGTGCTTAATATGTCGACACTACTGTCTAAATTCAATACTAGACTCCACTGATTACAAGTTCCGTCTGCCGCTTTGAAATATTTGTCTTGAAGGTAGTTGCACTAATTACTGCACAGCAGATCTTTGGGTTTTGAGATGACTGGTGTCTGATAGTCAAATTGAAGTGATGGAAAACACCAGGTGAGGCCATCTTGCTCTTTTGGGGGTTGAATTCATCACCTAGAACTGTGTACTCTGCCAATGTGGAATTTGATTACATAAGAAATTTGTCCTGAGTAATCGAATACTGCGTAACATTTAGAAGTCGATTTCACTTTCACTTAGTATACATATCATCATGGGATCCTGCATTAATAGGCTTTACACATCAGGTAAGAGTCAAGATACGGATTTTCCTTGCAAAAAATGCATAAAGTTTTTTCGGTTATTGGATAAAATTATGGAAAAGCATCTATTTTTCCATTGTGGTTTAAGTATTGGATAAGAAGGATTGTGAAATACTGCCCTTCATAATACACTTCGCAACGTGTCCAATTGGAGTTAATCAGTGAGTCAAAAGGTTAATTGACTGTGTTAACTTATGACATCGTGTATCTGTATTCCAATGGTAGGATGATTGCCAGTCACACGGGAGGTACGGGTTCAGCCCTCGACCAATGCATGCCCAATCTTTATTATTATTATTATTATGGTTCCATTTAGTTCCAAGAGGAACATAGGGCTTCAGCCTCACGCCTCCATTGCGTTCGGTTCTCCGCCAACGTTTTCACCTGGCCCCACGTGTGCCCGCATGCTTTCATCTCCTCTTCTCATGACACCCTCGCACAGACGACCAATTCGCCGCTTCCCATTCGTTCGGGTTCTACTTGAGCGATGGCCTGGCGTGTGATGCCAGTTGATGGTTTGTTTTCTGAGAAGTATGACCAATCCACCTACCTACATTTCTTCCTGCATATTTGTTGCACAATCGGTTCCTGCTGGGTTGGTTCACTCCCAGAGACGTCTGTTGCTGATCTTGACTGGTATTGAGCGATGGTAGCTGTTGATGAAAGTCTGTAGTTTGTTCGAAGTGCCTTTCTAGACGCGGAGCTAAGTGTCTGATCCGTATACTATCACTTACATCACATTTGAGTTGAAAATCCGGATCTTATTTTTCCTTCATGCTGAGTGTTGTCGATCTCCACACATACTTGAGAGTAGTGAAAGCTTGCCTCGCTTTCCCGATCCTCGCTACTTTGATATCCTCAACAGTTCCGCCGCCTGTATTTGAAACGATGTTTCCCGGGTAGGTGAATGAAGGAGGTTACTTCTTTCAGATTCCTCACATTTGTGCTGATTGTTGTTGTTGTATGCCCGAGAAAAGGAGTTTTGGACGTCAGGTTAACAATCCTTCTCCCTGAAAACAACATCATCGCTACAGAAACTTCAAATCTAAAGCTTTCAGCTCCACTCACAATAAACGG